ACGCTACTCGCCAATCGAAATGTTCTTCGACTGTTTGATTGAATGTGATTAAACTCGCACGGTCCTAGTTCAATTAGCGTGTAAACATAACAACTCTTGGCCGTTTTATCGATTTCAGGATCACTCACGGCTACCGAGAATAATTCGGTCGTGAGATATGGAAGTTTTAGTAGAGGCCGGAAGAAGATATAAGCTTAAGCAAAAACAAAAGTTGTCGTTCGTGTGTGTGTGTGTGATGTATATTTATGTAGTTTATCATATTTAAAGGGAGAATGAAATAGATCTTGGACTTCGTCGAAGCCGCCTACTTAGTGACATGCTGTCAATATTTTGGCCATGTAATACTATGTGCTGTCAATATTGAGGTCTTTACTTACGAAATTGTTTTTTAGTACACACAGCTTAGTCAATTCTTTTATAAATATTTTTATTCCTATATATAAAAATGTGCAACCATGATATGGATGTATCTCTGCCAACGCATTGATAATTTTTAATTTTTAATGCTATTTTTGAAGAAGTCCGCTACCCAGGAACCAACAGACTGTTCAAAGGAATTTGTAATTCCTCTGGGGTATTGATTGTTTTCCCTGCTAAGAAGTTGTTCAAAAATTTGAAAAGAATAAGTCTTTCGTTGCATGTTGATGATGCAAAACTTTAAACTCTATCTCTTGAAGCTTAGAGACTGTCTGTTGGACCTTATGAGGTTGAGCGTTGTCGTGTGGGATCAGTGGGGACGGGCGATTAACCAAGGCTAGCCAGAGATTTGTGAGCTTCATTATTGTGTCTAGTTCCTCACAGTACATATCCGCAGTAATGCTGGTTATACCGGCACTAGAGCAACAAAATTAAACAATGACAGAGAATAGAGTAGTGAAAACAAAACGCCAATCGATAAACAAATGAGTGAATTAAAAAATAGGATTCTATATTTATAAAATAAAATTCATTGCCAGCCATACACAGGTAAATAATTACGTTTCAAATGGCTAGTGTGCTTAGTGCTAGTTTTTTAAAGTTATCGATAGCGTAAAAGTTAACTCAAATTTGTATGCAGTTGGAACAGCGCCCCTAGCGGAAAACTTAGGCAAACGTTCAACTCCTTACGAGTTTGAGTTAATTTTTACGTTAAGCACACTGTATTGTAAAATGCCAACTTCATAATTACATGAAGACTTACAATAATATCATGATCTTTCCATGATCTTTTATTAATTTTTAATACGTAACTTTCGTTTAAGTGGGTGATAGTATTGCCTTTAGAAATAAATGAAGGCCTAGCGACAGACAGAGGGTTCATCAGTGTCCCTGGTTTTGCTAATTTCCAATATTAATCATTAATGGTTGAGCCAAGGTTCGTCAGCGGTTGATGCCAATAAAAAGAGGATTTATTACCAGCGTATTGTTATTTCAGACCAAACATGTTTTCTCCTTCAATACTTCTCTATCTTTTTTTTCCCTACTTATGCTGATAACTTTGAGAAGCTGTTTCAGCTTCTTGACATGTAGGTGAGCTCACGGGGCTCTACCCGGGAGTGTTGCTAACACTGGCCCTATCAAGAGCAGTGCTTCGCTGAATCTACCATCAGATCGGAAACGCGACCCACTGAGAAGATCCGGCGAGAAACTCAGTCGACTATTCTCTATCACATTAATAGTTAAAACTCTCTCAACAGTAAACTTGATTAAAACGTAAATTTGATATTGATGAATAATAATGTAGAATTTACTCTGTGTTTCGTCTGGTCAGAGTGCATTAAAATTTGTAGCTTATTTAATTAAGCAGAAGACGACATGTAAAGTTGTGAATTAGTCATTTTTAACCGACATCAAAAAAGAGGTCCCAATTCGACCTGTTTCTTATGTGTAATTTTTTTTTCTTGGTGAAGAAAGCTGGTGCTTGTCATGTGGGTCCATTAAAATTATATCACATGCCAGTTTCCCACTTATCTTTTGTAATGAAAATTTCATTGACTTTTGAGTCCGTTGTTAATTGATATACTCCCTTTATTTCTTTGAAGTTGATTTTCGTTTTTTGTCAAAATCTTGTATTATTAGCCGGACGAATTTTGATATCCCAAGCAAACATGAATTATTTTATGGAAGAACGCCGCGAACGTTAAATTCAGTCGGATTAACTATTTTTCTTAGTTGTTGAGTATATTGTGTGACCTCACACGGTAAGGTACCACGATGCTACCTATTACTGCCTCACGATTCTCATGAGTTTCGGTTTGAAGGATGGGACATCAGTTGGACAATAGAATTGCGACTTGACCTCACGTGTCAAGGTGGATGCCGATATTAACGACCGCGGATACTACAGATAATCTCTGTCGTTTTTGATGGTCAAGTGCAAGGTTAAAGATACGAACACTTCTTTGAAGTTTTGGCAAAACAAATAATTTTTTTTTTCCTCCTACCTATGCTGATAGCCTTGAGAGGCTATTTCAGCTTCGCCCTAACATGTAGGTAAGCTCACGGGGCTCAAACCGGATTGTTGCTAACACTGGCCCTAGCAACAGCGGTGCTTCGGAACCATCACCGGATCGGAAACACGACCCACTGAGAAGATCCGGCGAGAAACTCAGTGGGCTGTGTCTGTGGGTTAATTCGCCCTTGACCCCCCCGATGACCGGTGCTTGAGGTACCTAAAAGCACCGTTAGTGGATCGGGAAGATCCGAAATGACGTGTTTTGGGCGATGTCGACGCAATTCAATACATCACCGTTCAAGTACGCAACTGCTTAAAGTTATGTAAGCTCAGAGGCGTAATGTAAGGCAAATTCATGTATGCATATCCAACGCAAGCTTCGGAAGAACATGAACGATCTTTTTATTTATTTATTGCTTAGATGGGTGCACGAGCTCCAAGCCTACCTGGTGTTAAGTTACTGGAGCCTATAGACATCTAGAATATAAATGCCGCCACCCACCTTGAGATATAAGTTGTAAGATCGCAAGTATAGTTACAACGGCTGCCCCAACCTTCAAACCGAGACGCATTAGTGCTTTACGGCTGAAATAGGCAGGGTGGTGCTACCTAACCGTGCGGACTCGCAAGAGGTCCTACCACCAGTAACCTTATTACGCAAATTTTCACGGGAACATTTATTGAGTACGTTCTATCTATATTTTCTCGGCAATATGCTTGGTCTCAATTTCAGATCACATTCTGGAAGTACCTTGCTATAACTGGCCGGAACGTATGCGTCCCGGATAAATATGATGAGATAAAATTTTGTTATTTCCGGATTTTCAGAATGTACTTGAAATTCTAAGATCTCAGCGTTATAAATAAACGAACAATCAATAAATTCCGACTTGAACGTTGAGACTTAAAATGAAATATGTCACGCACTCGCCACATTGCGCTGTATTACGTATTAAACATTATATTTACGTTTCCAGTCAATAATGTAAAATGATAAACTCTTTATTACTTACTAGTCTATAAATACACTCCCGCGACCGATTGTATTGTAAGAGCTGAACTATGCCACTGACATTGCCTTGTTAATATTCGAGCAATAAATCGGCACTGGTCCGCCGTACCATTGCCAGTGTATTTTTTTTTATTGCCCTTTTAGGCGGACGAGCATACGGCCCACCTGATGGTGAGTAGTTACCGTCGCCAATGGACTTCAGCAATGCCAGGGGCAGAGCCAAGCCGCTGCCTACCAATTAATGAGACGGTATCAAATTTACACATCACTGGGATCGTCCGCGTTCGCAAAACAAAGTCGCATTGAACCATTAGTAACTAAAAGAGAAGGGTTCTTGAAGCCCGTACTGTAACAATTCCACTACTACAAAGATAAACAAATTACAATGTTAATTTTTATAAACTAAACATAAAAGCGTATCTTTAAAGTTCATTGTTGTTTGATCTGTATCGTAACACGAAAACTTGCGGGCGTCCCCCCTCTCCCCGCGATCTCTAACTTATGAGTTCGCTGACTCTGAATAATTCGTCGTGGCCTAAAGGATAAGACGCCCGGTGCATCGGATCAAGCGATGCAAGTGTGCCGGTGTTCGAATCCCGCAGGCAGGTATAAATTTTTCGTATTTTGAATTACATTACTTGTAACGCAACAAGGTAATGAATACAATCATCTTAGCACCTCTGTGATCTCTACACCGGATGTTGACAATAATTTGGAACATGCTGGTGCTCTCCCTAATGGGTCAATAATGTCTAGAAAATATCGCAAAGGATATCCTATAAGAACTTTTTAGAAATTCTGAAATATAATCGTTGCGGCTTTTAAAACAGTAAGATTATGTGTTGTGGGGTGGTAACGTTGTTTCAAGGAATTACATTCACGACCAATATAAGTACATGATTCTTGCACTATGATAAAGTAAATGATAATAATAAATTGTCAGGCGAAAATACAAAACCACTATATTATTGGGTAATTCAATATTGTTTTTACCAGGTGGGAAGAGGGTGGTTGAAAATAACTGCTATTTGATACATCCACTTCAGATAGCACCAGCTGAGCTACCTCCCTTTGCCTTAGTTTGTTTATTGACCTGTAATAATAATTTTAATATATTATTTGAAAGAAAGGCAATAAATGATTTTATTGTTTTTAGAATACAGTTTCTAAGTGAACCTTGATACAAATACTTTTATATTGTTAATAAATAATTTATATTAATGTTGCAAGAAATATTGACTTGGTGCATCCTGCGGTGTCACTCGTGTTAATTGTTACTCTAGAATGCGAACCTTAAATTTTGCGTTTGGACATTGCGTTCACAAAAACTGGCATATCGCTCTAGTTTATAGATCACACAAATCCCTCCTGGCTGAGCCCGTGCTCGCCCACCTGTCCTGGTGAAACTGAAAAGGCCTCTGGGCCGCCAGTAATCCTTCCTTCATTAAACAAATACCACACAAATAATAATGTTGTACCATTGCTGTTGTAAAGAATATCAATCCTACGAGTATATTATTTTTAGTATTAATTATTTTTCATTATCCTTTTCAGGTTGTGGACATGCACGCCGTTAACGAAATCATATCCATTTTGGAAAAAATCAATATTACAAAAGAGCTGTTGGAGGTAAACAATGTTTTCAATAGTTTTAACAATAAAAGATTAAATATAAAATGTATTATGTGATAAAAGCTCTATGCGTTACGCGATAAGGTAGTTAATGCAATGATACGGTCGTCGTCATAATTTCACTTTACATTTATTTGCTAATAGACAGTATGATTCACTGTTCCCTTTAGACTACACTGTGCTTGTTCGTGTTTGATTTTACTAGTGATCCTTCGTTGTAGATGCCGCTGTCCAAGGATTCGACACATGGGAAAGTCGCACGACCCGATTAGGGTGCCCTGGTCAGTGGACCCATTAGGCCATGGACACTTAATCCTTATCCGANAATTTCACTTTACATTTATTTGCTAATAGACAGTATGATTCACTGTTCCCTTTAGACTACACTGTGCTTGTTCGTGTTTGATTTTACTAGTGATCCTTCGTTGTAGATGCCGCTGTCCAAGGATTCGACACATGGGAAAGTCGCACGACCCGATTAGGGTGCCCTGGTCAGTGGACCCATTAGGCCATGGACACTTAATCCTTATCCGACTGCGATGGGGCAAAGCAAAGCCGCCATCGCCTGAAACATGTCTTGTCGGATCCTCCTGATTTACTCTCGGTGCTTTTAGGACCCTCAAGCACAGGTTACCGTCCTCGTCGAGTTCTCCGACGAGCGAACTAACCCGTAGATATAAGCCCACTGAATTTCTCGACGGATCTTCTCAGTAGGTCGCGATTTTGATCCGGTGGTAGATTCTGCGAAGCACTGCTCTTGCTAGGGCCAGTGTTAGCAAGTTCTCTCCGGTTGAACTCGTGAGCTCACGTACTCGTCCGGGCGTGACTGGAGCTGGAGTAGCCTCTTAGGCTACCAGCGAATAAGCAGGGGAAATAGAAATCGATTAATATTTAAATGAAATCCGTGGACAGAGATGTCTTAAATACTTTTCACTGGAACAGCGCCCCTAGCGGCAAACGTAGGCAAACGTTCCAACTCCATACAAATTCGAGTTAACTTTTACGCTATCGAGAACGTTAAAAAACTCTCACTAAGCACACTGGTATCACTAGTTTCTCTTGTTGTATTTAATAGAAGATGTTTAAATCGTTTTCCAATCACGTCTCCAGACCACCAGACTTGGCAAGCACGTGAACGAGTTAAGGCGGAAGACCTCAGACCCGACTCTAGCGCGTCGCGCCAAGGTCCTAGTCAAGAGATGGAGGGACCTTGTCATACCTGTAGCTTCACCGGGGCATACAGGTAATTACTAATTTAACTTTTTATCATACTTAAGGCATAATATTACGAGTAGAAATTGCAAGCCTCAAATTTGTTGAACATAATATCGCAGTCCTCGTTGTGAATGGCTCTCAAAGCTGCGAAGGTTTTGGTATAGCTTTCGCGAGCTAAATTGTACCGTGTCCATTGCGCAGTGTTTTCTAGTTTTGTTGAAACCGCAAGTTGTAAATCCAGAAATCTAGACTGTCGAGAATGGTCCATAATAAGAAGATAACGGTTCAAGATTGATTTTGCTGCTCAATGCTGGACGTCTCAAGGTTGATTTGCTAATCCATCATTACTTTTCTTCACCAAACTGGCAGGACATTCTTGAATCGGAATTTCCTAAGTAAGATTTCTTCAATAATGACTGTCATGAACTTGGAGCATGATAAATATCGCATAATTACCCTATAGCATAGCACACTGAGTTTCTCGCCGGTTCTTTTCAGTGGGTCGCGATTACGATTCGGTAGTAGATTCTGGGAAGCACTGCTTTTGCGTAAGGCTAGTGGTAGCTAATTCTCTCAAGTTGAACCCGGGAGCTAATCTACACGTACGCGCGAAGCTGAAATAGCCTCTTAAACTACCAGCGAATAGGTACCGGAAAAATACTATTATTTCTGCTATTAGCAGACAGATGTCGCTAAGAGCTACCACTGTTGAACGATAGATGTCGCTCTATACGTTTTTCTTAAACCAGTGATAGCTTCAGTACGTACCCTAAAATATTTGTTTTTGAAAACGATTAACAAGTAAACTTCTTATTTCATTATTGAACGTGATGATTGATCAAGTTTGAAATTTAAAAAAATCTAGATAGTTTGAGCTTATAAAATTAAAACATATTTTGATTTTGATTAAGTTCGGGTGCATATTACCGTCCCGTCGATGCGTGCCGGAAGGTTCCACGTAAATTTTCTGAACTGGATTAACATATTGCGGCATACTGGAAGAATCTGTAACGCTCTTCTAACTCTCTTATTAGAGAATGGTAGAGAAACTTTGAACATAAAGCTAGGCTTAAAAGAGGACTGGGTACGAGAAACATATCACTATCTCTTTCACCCTACATTGGTGACGTCACAAAGGATTTTTTTTTCCTACCTAAGCTGATAGCCTTGAGAGGCTATATCAGCGGAACCTTAAGTAGGTGAGCTCACGGGGCTCAAACCTGATGACGTTGCTAACACGAACCCTAGCAAGAGCCGTGCTTCGCAGAATCTACCGCCGGATCGGAAACGCGACCCACTGAGAAGATCCGGCGAGAAGCTTAGTGGGCTGTGTCTGAGGGTGGCACAGAGGATTACGCGCGTTTATCCAACAGATTTAAAAGTTTTCTAATTGAGTAATTACTATTTTATTGTGCATTCAACAGTAAGTCTTTGCTTACAAAAAAGTGTTGCCAACAACACATCTCTATTACGATGTGCTGAATATAAAACTGTGTCATGGCCGTGTAATAACTAAAGTTTCGTGAGGCGTTGTTTAGTGTACACACAATTAGGGCATTATTCTATCGTTTAATGTATCAGATATGTCGCCATTAGATAGTCGATGGCGCGTTAAAATCAATACGAAAATTTAACTTTGGTCCTTTTGGTATTGATGCAGAATTCTTTCATTATGAAATCGGCCAAGGTCGACCCGCAATGTGTCCGCTACTAGATTTAATTATGTTATTTTTAATGTATTATTATGTAAAGGTTTTCCGGTAGTACTTATTGAGTTCAATGTATCCACTGGATCGACAGGTTTTACTAACGAGCTATGAGTGCGTGAATAAGGTTTGTTAGTATTATATTAGACTTATACTAGACAGATTGTAACTATACTGAGACCTTAGAACTTATATCTCAAGGTGGGTGGCGCATTTACGTTGTAGATGTCTATGGGCTCCAGTAACCACTTAACACCAGGTGGGCTGCGAGCTCGTCCACCCATCTAAGCATTAAAAAAAAAAAAAGATTTTTAAATGCATGCATACTATTTGGATAGTGTTTTTCGAACGCTATGACATGTCTTCAAACGTGGCTTACGGTACTTAACGGTAGGCAACGGCTGCACTCCTGGCATTGCTGCCATCTCCACTAACCATAAATGGCCCGAATGCTCGTCTGATTCAATGGTAATAAAATTAGAGAATGCTGTATTAACTTTTGTTCCGTTCTAGGATCAAATCGTTCGTCAGCTGAGCGGCAGATCCGTCGGCTTGGAGGGAACACTCCGCTGACGTCGCCTGCCCTGTCCCGGGTCAGTGCCTTGTAGTACGTCGATTCGACAAGAACCATTGGATTCATTAGCACGTTAATTGCCGTGTAGGTCACCGGTGCCCTACGCGGCGCGCTGAAGTAATTATGACGATTGTTATTAAGGCGCCGTAATATCTAGTATACTCTAGGAAACACGAATCAGAAGATACTGAGCATGAATATATCGTCTTCTCGCATTAAAACTGTATAATCTCAAAACTTACTAATTTTACAGGAGAATTTTCTAAAGGTTTTTTAACATTCGATATTTTTAATAATAATCTTCTTTGAAATATTATTTTTTTATTTTTTACCAGTTACATTATCTGTCTTTTAAAGTGAGATAAAATTATGTATTAATTTTGTTAATAGTAGTCAAAACATAGGTAAACTAAACAAAAAAAAAACTAAATCTAAACTACGCTCTTTTGACAGTATTTATGAGAAAAATGCTGGTGATACCAAATGATTTCGCAGATTAACTCAATTTCGAATATTTTTGGAAATTGTACATTTTTAATGCGAAAAGACGATATATCAAAGAGGCCTAAAAGACTAAAAGATACACTAACAAACAAAAGAAGGCAAAGTTACGCATTCCAGACATACGCTTTAGTAACAGATATCGACTTAATTACTTGAGTGCGCCGCGTAGGGCACCGGTGACCTACACGGCAGTCATAAGGGTTAAGACATTCGCTGGACAATACTTAGAAAAATAATTCACGTGATTTAGTTACATGTCGGTCGTGACCTAATTAAAAATATTGACATTTCAATATTGTCAATTTCAATATTGTCAATTTCAAATCAAAGTTAATTATAAACTCTCCTTTTGTTTTCATTCAAACTAATTTTGCAAAACTTTTTTTTATATATTTCAGGTGGCTAGTCCGGCATTGTCCAGTCCAAGACCGTTGTCGAGGCCAGGTATGAAAATTACAAAATAAATAAATAAATTAATTAATCTTATTTGCCGACAGTACTCAAGGCAATCAGTTCCTTAGAAAGTAACGTTCCTAATAGGTAAATAAGGTCAGCGAAAAAGAAATTGAAGTTAATTTTTATTGCTTAGATGAGTGGACGAGCTCACAGCCCACCTGGTGTTAAGTGGCTACTGGAGCCTATAGACATCTACAACGTAAATGCGCCACCCACCTTGAGATATAAGTTCTAAGGTCTCAATGTAGTTACAACGGCTGCCCCGCCCTTCAAACCGAAACGCATTACTGCTTCACGGCAGAAATAGGCAGGGTGGTGGTACCTACCCGTGCGGACTCACAAGAGGTCCTATCACCTACCATATATGTTGATTTATTTTTGTTTTATTCCAGCATGGGGTGGATACGAGTCGGACTCTCAGGACGTGATCCTGGTGGACGACGATCCTCCTCCTCCACCAGCTGTCGTACCGCACAAACCTGTCACACCACGTATGTGTCCAATTTTTTTAACATATCATCAGCTCTAACTCCTTATTGCTGCCACAGTGCGACCCAATCACAGGTAGGTCGCCGTCCTCTGTCGCCTCGGGTCCAACGTTCAGTCCAAGTCTGGCCCTCTTCACTTAGCTGATCTTACTTGAAAGTTGAGTGACGTAAGATATTAAAATTTTACCTCAAGTCACTAAAGCGTTGGCCGTATTCGTAACATGATATCTATGGGTGCCACTGAAAAATTGTTTTTTTTTTTATTGCAACATGGGTGGACAAGCTCACAGCCCAACTGGTGTTAAGTGGTCACTGGAGCCCATTGACATCTACAACGTAAATGCGCCACCCACTTTGAGATATAAGTTCTAAGATCTCAGTATAGTTATAACGGCTGTCCCACTCTTCAAACTGTAGCGCATTACTGCTTCCTACCCGTGCGGACTCATAAGAGGTCCTACCGCCTACCAAATATGTAGATTTATTTTTGTTTTATTCCAGCATTTTTTTTATAATAAAGAGGAAAATTGTTTTCCTTTAAAATTTTCAAGTTTAGATCAAGATCTATCCTTCGAAGTTGATCAGCTCGTGCCTATGTGACAGTTAAACAAATGATTATTTGTGTTTCCAGCCGTGAAAAGGCCGCCATCCGTCGAAGCGGTATATGATGAGAAAAAAGCGAAGAGAGACAAAAAACCCAAGAAAAAAAGGTGTGTTAATAAATTCTTAAATTTTTTTATTTCAAATCTTGCACTGTCGTCTGGCCCCAATTTGAGATTCGCTGTGTTATTGGTACCAGAGACTGACATACATATTTATATACGGTTAAATATATATGTATCGAACAGATGTGAGGACGTTGAAAAAAATATAGAAATTACACAGAACTGGCCTAAATATATTTTACTAATTTTTTAACAAAACGGTTTCAATCTACTGTTAATGAAAACTGTTAAAATTGCACAAGTTACCGGGCGAGGGGAGCCTGGACTCTGTAATAATACATACATAGATAATAAACAGCTAGACAAAAAGTAAATAAACTTGTTCATAACGCGAATGTCTGCCCGATGCGGGAATCGAACCCGCAACCCCCGGCACAACACTCAGGGCCCTTAACTACTGCACTATTGAGTCGGTCAAAACTCCACTGCCAAAATTGAGAACATGCATGTAGAATTTAATAGACGGCCTGTGTTTATTTTGTTGATGTGTTTTTTCCATCACCAGTTGTCTATGGGCACCGGTAACCACTCGAACACCAGATGGGCCGGAAGCCGGAAGCTGCAAAAAAAAAATATATATTTTTTATAAACCGTAGTGAGGGTTTTAAACCCTTTTAGAATAGTAAAATTGAATGAAGATTTGAACAGGAATAATGAATGGAACATTGTACTAATGTCAGAGTTCACAGTCGCGCCGGGTCCGGCTCGGAGACCACAGCGGAGCCGGGGTGGGGGGCGCGCAACGGGGCCGCCCCCCACCGCCGGAACGGGACCCGGCCCCCCGACCCCTACGCCGCGCTCGTGCACCGCCTGCCGCCCGCCGGGGGCAAGAAGGTAACGCACACACGCACACACGCATACACCTACACATACACAATAGGCTATATGGACATTTGACCTGAAACTAGACGTGGCTAACAATATATGGATGCCCCATCAAGATCTTTTTGTGTATTTTAATCTTCGATCAACAATAGTAACTAGATTTCGGGTCAGTGCATAAAATCCGTCTCGTCAAATAACAGCGCACTTGAAATGTGAGCTCTTATTTTGTTTAGTTCACTTCAAACACAGCCAATGTCAACCCGTCTCACAATACCGCAGTGTGTATTCAAAAGTTGCAAAAATAAGGACCGAAAAAGCAATTTAACGGCCGGAATATCTTACTTTCGGTAAGTACATGAAGTATAAACTATATTGTAAGCTTTAAACTTATAAATAATATTTAATTTTGAACAAAATTACCGATTTTTAACCACCGCTACAAATGTTGGCCAAGGCTCGGCCAACACATGGACAAACTTTTGCTTAACAGAACAGTAAATGCATGGAGTAGATTTGTGTTGTAATAATTTTTTAACATTTGTTAGCAGCACTTCAAAATTAGTTGGTTAAAATTGGTTAATGCTGCTTTTGTGTCTGTTTGTTAGACTCTCATTAGATACTTAGCTTTCCATTTTTATTTTAGCTTTCCTAGCAATCACGTGTGCAGAATGGATCTCGATTGTCGCCAGAGAAACAAGAGATGACTTTTATAAGCCAGCTAAGATCTCCGCTTACTGACACTGGACATCTTTGCCTTCCGTGCTCACGGCTACTGAAACGTGGCCGAAACATTGTAATAAAAATACCACGCTTGAAACCGTTTAAACGTTGTTTTATTATGTGCACTGGTCGCGAAAACTTAAAAATATATATTACACAAAAACGTAACGCTAATAAAATAATAAGTAATGTATAGATACTAACAAACATACATTTCCAAAACATAAAAAGTAAACAACTAAACTTTTACTTTAATTCATTAATAAATTATTTTAGTGTTAAGCGCGACTCCCTTACCTCCTGTAGTAAATAGAAATCGGCATTTCAAGAAGCAAAAATAAATAAAGCAAAACGATGTTAGTTCTCAGAGCAATTAAGGGAAAAGTTACTTTATTTGTTGCACCTTAAGATTGATTTAACATTAAAAGTTGTTTAAAATATGTCTTTTTATTGGTAAGTGACAGGAGTAATTTATTGCTTTGCTCGTTTTATGTGACGAATGATCGTAAGTATTAGATAATGTTTTGAAGATTTGTGACTTTATTACTAGGTGCCATAGTTGTTATTAGTTTGAACGTAAAAGTGTTTCAAAACTTTTTTCTCCGTTTGTTAGTAAACGAATGTAGCTATATAAGTATATATTCACGCGCACAGTTTTTGCTTTAATTTTGTACGTATCCCTTTATCTAGTTACTATTGTTGATCGAAGATTTTAATTATGAGTCATAAGATTTTTGCGATGTCGGTTCACTGATATCCCTCAAGCACCGGTCACCGTCCTCGTCGAACCTGCGCTTGCGACGAAAGGGCTCGACGAGTAAACTAACCCCATAGACACAGCCCACTGAGTTTCTCGCCGGATCTTCTCAGTGGGTCGCATTACCGATCCGGTGGTAGATTGCGAAGTACTGCTCTGACTAGGGAAAGTGTTAGCAATACTCCGGCTTGAGCCCCGTGAGCTCACCTACACGCCAAGGAGAAGCTGAAATAGCCTATCAAGGCTATCAGCATAGGTAGGAAAAAAAAACTGATACTTAATTCAGTATTATTGTAAAATGGCAGCCCTATCCACTCAAGCCTGAAGCTAGGACAGTTAAAAAGTATCGTCATGTGCCGCACGCGTAGTTTTATTGTGCTTTCCGTTCATTACATCCATACACGAATAAGATCTACTTATCTATTTAATTTTCATAATATTTTATGTATTTTTGATGATCCTTCTCGCTGTTGGGTGCATTAATGTTTGTAAACTAAAATCAGATTAAAGGCTTTTTTTCTTTAGGTGAAGACAACAAAGGAACTGCTAGAACAGATTCAGTCACGAGGGAAACCCCCCTCCCCCGGCTCCCCGGTGGCCTCCCCGCCCGCCTCGCCTGACGTCATGCTCATTGAACCTGAACGTTAGTATTCATTTACATAAACTTCCTACCAGACAACCGGAGAAGTGAAGGTTGAAACAAGATTTTCTTTCAGCGTGTCCTGTAAAGGTGAGCTCCCCGCTTCGCAACGGTTCATCTCCGGCGCCGGCGGTGACGACCCCGGTCCCCGCCGCGCCCGTTTTCATCTCCGAGATGGAGGAAGAGGGCGTGGAGTGCACGTGCGGGGAGGAGCAAGAGGATGAGCACTGTCCGGCGGCGAGCCGGCGGGTCCTGCAGCCGCTGCACGTGCACGCGCTGCATCACACGTACGTGCCCGGAGTCAACGGCACGCGAGCGCCCCCCCTCCCCCACCCCTTCGCGGTGCGGCCCCCCGCCAGACTTGACGACCCCGATCTCTTTACCAGCGTCGTACCCCTGTACAATTACTCAGATTATGCGGACGACTACTGTGTCAAAAACATGTCGCGGGTTCCGATCTGTCCGCACCTACCGTGGACGGAGTTCGCGCCTGCGCCCCCCTCGCCGCCTCCACCCCCGTCGCCGCCTCCGATTCGTCCCTATCCGGTAGACGAGCCGGTGGTGAAGCGGGAGCCGGAAGACCCGGATACCGATCCAGAGGCCGGACTCGACGACCGGCCCGACGGTAAACCTAAACCAGACTCTTCGAAAGTGGAGTCCGAGATGGTCGGCGTCCCGAGCCTCGAGCCAAGCGAGCGGCTCAAGGCGCCGCTGCTCTCCAACGAAGAGGAGACGCAGTTCGGCAAGAACGAGCCTCACCCTCGGATGGAAGTCGAAGAGCAGTTCGAGACTGAACCCCAGGAGCACCGCACCGTCGAGAGAACGAAAGAAGTGAAGCCGGAGAAGAAGGAGGAGACGGTGGACGGGCGGACGCTGGTGGCGCTGTGCTCCCGCGCGCTGGACAGCACGCGCTACGACTACACGCAGATGAGCCGCGCGCCCGTGCTGGCGCTGCCGGAGCACGAGGGCGCGCTGCGGGCGGCGCTGGCGGGCGCGGCGGAGGGCGCGGCGGCGGGCGCGGTGGACGCACTGGGCCGCCNGTGAAGCCGGAGAAGAAGGAGGAGACGGTGGACGGGCGGACGCTGGTGGCGCTGTGCTCCCGCGCGCTGGACAGCACGCGCTACGACTACACGCAGATGAGCCGCGCGCCCGTGCTGGCGCTGCCGGAGCACGAGGGCGCGCTGCGGGCGGCGCTGGCGGGCGCGGCGGAGGGCGCGGCGGCGGGCGCGGTGGACGCACTGGGCCGCCCGCCCCGCCCCGCGCAGTTCGCGGAGTGGCACGAGTGCGCCACGCTGGGCGACGTGCTGGCGCTGCCGTATGTCGTCATCGACTGATCCGACCGAACCTGTGCCAAACGGTCACCGACCAAGTGCCCTTATATTAGTTACGTAAGCTCCCGCTCTTGTATATATACACCGGTGCCGCTCGAATATGTAAATACGGACTCTGTCTCGCTTCCTCCGCCCCCCCTCTCGCTCGCACACGACGCGAACACCTGGTACTCTCCTAGGTAGGATACGTTTTTGAAGGTGTCACCAATTTGTATAACGTTAAGTTTTGTGTAATACGACATCAACTACTGTAAATTTGAAAGGAACCAAACTCTAAAGCTTCCTCCAGTATAAAACCGACACACGACGCATCGAACAACGTGTAACAACAACCCCGGTCGATTTTTGTTAATTAACATCGATAATTATGATTACTTTAAGTAATGATTTACATGACAATAACAAATACCACACATACATATAACAGTAGATATGTAAGAATAAAGTTTCATATATACAATTCTTCTCTGGCGTGTGTGACTGAACTCTTCGTAAAAGGTTGACCGATTTTAGGCCTATTCAAGTGGAATGTTCGAGAATGGTTTAGAATCACAATTCGGTCCGCTACAAAAATGTTTCAAAAATTTTTATAATATAAAATTCTCGTTAAGGTTATTATATTATTCAACAATGTTACATATTAAAAAATTGTAAAAGTTTTTTTTTAATGGTTCTTTTTTGTCAATACTTATTGGGACTTTAAATGTATCTTTTATTAACTTCACTCTTGCATAACTTGTTTTACATTTATACGGAGTGTGACTATAGTCCGTCCGATAAATGATGATATACAATTTTAAAAAAAATACTTTTAAAATTACTAAAAACACCAGCTCTGTATAGAACATCGGCTTTGTACTTATTTATCTCTAGTTTTTGTTTCTGCGCTTTAATACTAAATTTAAATTTGGAAGTGCGACTTGAAAAGTCGAAATCCGACCTTAAAGCTCTTTTGTCGGGCTTTTTTTCTCAATACCACATAACGAGCCATTGCTATTCAATTAACGTTGTCAGTATTTTCGGACGAAAGCGGAGAGCGTTTGTAATCTGTCTCGCTATACATACACTGGTTCACAATAATAACTTGATTTTTTATACTAAATTTTATATTGTACACGCTTCTACCAATAATGTCCCTATAGAATGCCCCTTCTGTATCTCGCAGGGTTGTTGTTCCACGTTAATAGGAAACTGGACAGTTCTAGTTTTGTCCGAAAACCGGCTACATTGCGTGTGACGTCATTTGTGGCCAAACCAAACTAGATCCTTCACAACGATCAATCACATATGACCTCGTGCGCTGTTATTGGTTTACAGCTTGACATGAAAAGAAAATCCAATAGAATTATTCGATATTATTCAGTGGTTAATGATATTAATCGTTAATATCATACAAAATAGCGATTGAACGATTTTAAAATAAGTAATTATGATCTTGATTGATGATTAAGCGAAACGGAATATGTATGTTTGTTTGCAATTAAGTTGTATATACATATGTTTAAGTTTGATGTTTGAAATGTCCCGTCACACTTATGTGAAAATTGTCCTTTTTTTTTTTAACGTTTTGTGATATCACCTTTTGTATTTGATGTTTTGCTTTCAAAATGAGCGTTTCCTTTTTTGTTAACTGTACAGATTTTTTCGATAAATTATCTCTGTTTGCTGTCAACTGTACTCTGAAGTCGTTAACGTATTGAAAGCAAAGTATCAAGATATTTTGTAAAAAAAAAATTCGACGCATTCATTATATTGAAATGTTAGTTTAAGAAGTGCTCTCACTCGTTATAATGATTGGCATCATTTGATAGACAATCAGCAGCCTCTCGTACCCGAATGTGATGAAACAAAGGAAAATAAACCTTAACGTAGTTAGTTAAAGTGTTACAATTGTATATACAAATAATGGATCCACGCATACAACATAATGTTGCCGACGGTGAATTAAAAGTAAATTTAAAAAATTTAGCTTAACTAATTCAGTTGTTTTTGTTGACGGTACTAAATCTTTGGTACAGTAGATTGGGGGAATCGGGACGCTTTCCAATTCCAACACACATTTCAGCGGTTTTGCTTAGGTTGATACCAATAAAATTGAGTTTAAAACGGTTCCAGAGGCTAAAATTGTCATATACGATGCGTTATTATGCATAGTTCATTGAAAAATATACACAAAAACTTAAAAAACTAGCTTGACCTGATCCACCTTGGCTTTTGGGGTGATTCTGGTCACGTATGGGGACAATAGAGTTTTTCGATAGGGGTGGCACTGTTTAGTTGTTAGGTAGGTAGTTAGTTACCTTTAGGTAATTAACTTTTCAATATCTTTAATCAGTTACAAAGCTCTGATGACTAAATTAAACTGCTTAGTATTCATAAGCACTAAATAAAAGTCCTTTTCAATTCAACAAATTTAAATCTCACAAAAGCATCGTGACAACCCAGACTTGTCCCTATTCTACCCCTAGTTCCTATTCCCCACCAATCTACGGTACGGTCAGCAGATTCGGAAGTTTAATGGGAATTGTGAAGTGTCAATCTGTATTCACTCCACGGTGTATTAATGGGTGTGTTTGTCACGCACACAGCATCGCCACCACTCGGCGATATTCCGATGTGTTCGATTTGTGTATAATAATAATAATAATTGAGTGTAGTTACGGACGTCGGGACGCGGGCTCGCCCACACCCTCCCCCCAACCTACCAGTCCCCCCACCCCTCCGCGAGCCAGCGTTCAAGACGCACAAAGAGAAGATTGACCAAAAAGAAGAAAAAGAAAATATGTGTATTTTTGTAATAAAGAAACGTTATAATATTAATTGAAAAAAAAATGTGATTCCTTGTAAATAAAAATTGATTGAGAATTTCTGATTTCTTTGGTTAATAAATAATGAAATAAATGTGCGTTTACCAAGTAAAATTATGTTATTAGACATATGAGGTTGTCAGGGCAAAAGTAGCCTAAGTTTATCATAGTTAGTATGGAAGTAATGAGGTTTGAATCTACTCTTACACTGCTTCGTTGGCAAAAACAATACGCGCCAAAATAAACATTTTTACAAATCTGTTATCTATGGGTCAAACTAGGGATAGGCCGGTTTTGAATCAAAATTGATTAAGTTATTAAAATAAATTGCATGAACTAGGCAAGAATATGAAAATTTGTGGGTTAGGTCACTTTGGTGCTGACGGTCTCATATATACTTATGTATAAAAATGAATGTATTTCTAACGTTACACGGATTGGCTCACTGATTCACATTCGCCGCGCCCCAAGCAAGATTGTGCAGCTCCGCGAAGTCTAAGAAATTGTTTTCTAAACATTTCACGTAGGTATACCTGCCCACTATCAGTCTGCTTAGTGCAATTGTGTATGCAATTGGAACAGCGCCCCTAACGGCAAACTTAGGCAAACGATCCCATTCTATACAAATATGAGCCAACTTTTACGCTATCGATATCGTTAAAAAACTCGCACTAAGCACACTGATGTTCGTTTATACCACGAAGCAAAAAAGCGTTTCGTTTTGAGGGATCTATGATGACCCAACGCCTATTGAGGCTCCGACCTCAAGTTCGTTCCGCCAGATGTCAGAAACTATTGGACATTGTCGTTGTCATAGCGGTATGTTGACGTTATTGTGACCAATGTCCGGCGGAGTGCGCCTCAATACAGTTTTACGAATGAAGGGTGCCTTTGAAATGATCTCGTCTACGCGGACTACCTTCTCAACTGATAACGTGAAAGCGAAAATAGCATATAGTGAGCTTAGTGCGAGCTTTTTAACGTTCTCGATAGCGTAAAAGTTAACTCAAATTTGTATGGAGTTGAACGTTTGCCGCTAGGGGCGCTGCTTGCAACTCCATACAAAGAGTTGACTTTTACGCTATCGTGAACGTTAAAAAACTCGCACTAAGCACACAGATGGTCTACACGCGCTACTNGATAACGTGAAAGCGAAAATAGCATATAGTGAGCTTAGTGCGAGCTTTTTAACGTTCTCGATAGCGTAAAAGTTAACTCAAATTTGTATGGAGTTGAACGTTTGCCGCTAGGGGCGCTGCTTGCAACTCCATACAAAGAGTTGACTTTTACGCTATCGTGAACGTTAAAAAACTCGCACTAAGCACACAGATGGTCTACACGCGCTACTTCTTGGTATTAAACAATTCAAATGCTGCTTTAACGATAACACAGAATATTATTTCGTAATACATTTTCGATACATTCTAGTGTTACGGTGGTTAGTTACCAGTTTGAACAATTGTTGAATTATATATATTTAAAAAAAAAAACATTGATCTGTACGCGACTGTACGCGCTGTCTTAAGAGAAAAATACAGGGTGTATTTGTGTATTTGAGAACAAAGCGAAACGAAAACACTCTGAATTCAGAATCGAGAGATTCGGTCGAATTTAAATCATTCGGTTTTTTTTAAACGATTATATCGAGAGGTTAAAGGTTATTCGGCTTAAGCAAAATTTCTCTTAATACGCGACATTTATCTTTGTAATTAAAGGTCCGTTTTATTTGGTATTAACATTTATCAGCATCAACAGTTCGATGTTTTTAATTGAACTTCAATTAAGTTTACCCCATTCAAATAGTTGAAGTATTTTTTTTTTTTGTGTATTATTATATTTTTTCCAAATTTCAAAATTTTAATGGCTCTGCCGTGAAGTTGCAAAAAATTCTCAAATTTAAAACCTACAAGCATACAATTAGTTATTTAGTGCAATACAACAAAATTGAGTGTTTGTTTTACAAAAATAAAATTTTAATTTCGTTTGATTCCCAATAGTGATAAACGTCTTTATAAACGCGCTAAATTTCGACAACTTTGTTGAATTTTTGTTTTTTAATTTCAATGACATTTTCACGAATTTGATATTGTCCCATAAAACGATTTGTATAGTATTGTATGATTTAAGTGATTTATATCGGAGATGAGCGTATGAGTGCCGCGCTAAGGGACCGCTCTGTCGCATCAGGCAAACGATCACGTCTAGAGATGAGCAGTAACCGTATTGTTGTTTTTAGTTTTTAATTTTGTTGTACGATCGTTTGGGCGTTGAAGAAAAATGTTTTTCTATTTGTTTAGTAAAGAATCGGGCGAATCGTCTCTAAGACTATATCCGTTTTGTCATATCTAAATCAATATCAAATTTGAAAGTCGTAATAATATCCCACTATCTAGCCGAGACGCAGAGATCTCTTAGCGTTATTTTACGTTTTACCCGAACGTGTAAAATCGTAAAGTACTTAAAGCGTATTAAAATTGTAAAAATTTTTTTAAGTAACCCTTCTATAACACGGTAGATACATTCCTACAAAGGTCCGCGTTGTGCGAAACCGTGTTATATGAGACTAGAAGTCAGTACAAAAACGTGGGTACTTTTCCTGAATGGTACATCTCAACTATGCCCCTATGTATTTTTTTTATTATTATACATAAAAAATAGCAGTAAAATTTCGCTTATTCCCATTATATTGTCTGTTCGTGGTTCCTAATGTAATTTTCTAAATAATTTTAAACAAATATCTCGTTATCGCCTTGTAGAATGACCGCGTTATAACAGGGTTTTGGATAATTTTTCTTTTCGTGTTAGAGTCGAACCGTGTTGTAAAATAATACCGTGTTATAGGGAGTGTTAATTGTTCATTGAATTTTCTTGATACCGTAAAATCTCTTATCTAAATGGTACATTCAAGTATGTTTTGTTTCGGAATTCGTAAACACGCTTCGAACCTCGAATCGAAGTGATGATGGGACCACGTATGTCCCTTTATTAGAAACTAGGGTAGAGCGTTTTGATACACGAAATTTAATGAAGTGACGTTTTGTTAAGATCTGTGTGCTTAGTGCGAGTTTTTAACGTTTTCGATAGCGTAAAAGTTAACTCGTATTTGTATGGAGCTTGGAACGTTTGCCTACGTTTGCCGCTAGAGGCGCTGTTCCAATTGCATACAAATACGAGTTAACTTTTACGCTATCGAGAATGTTAAAAAACACGCATTAAGTACACTGTTGAAAAGACATGAATAAATTTGGCTCGCGCAGCCTCGAGTGTACAGGGTTCATTATTGTCGGTCACGTGTGGCATTCCGCTGTGTGTGTGCGGTATCAATAAATAGATTTGACCAAATTTTTTTTATTCTTCTTTCCGTTACATGTTGTTTCATTCCATGAGAATTGTGGATTTAGTGATTTGATAAAAAAAAATCGTCCCGATATGTTGTAACCAAAAGTGATGCTAGTTGATTTGTCGCGTGTCTGCGCGAAGGTCCGTCGTAGACGCGTCCGTAATTACGAATGTGAAGGTTCGCTGAAGGTATTATAAAAAAAACAAATGAGCGCTCTGTAAATCGCTCTACTCTTTGAAATATTATAACACATTCGCAGTTTCGAACGAATCTCGGTGGGTCGCGTGTGATTGATACTATCTCAATTATCTTTAAGTTGCGCGTCCGTGTGGTTGTTTCCACGTGAAAATGTAAAGAGGAAATGTGTTGTTGGTTGTGTATCGCTCTGAACTATATACTTAGTGTAAACGCGTGTTGGTTTGTCGTTGATGAGACAGAGGCGAAGTGTGCGCGGAGGGAGAGGCCTTAAGTACGAGGGGCGCGGGCGACGCCGGGCACTGAGCTTGTATAGGTATCCGCAGGCTGCCTTCAAGGACTCGATCCGAAACTTTGGTAAAATATTATATAAAAGCGAAATATATGTGTTTTTATTACGATTACATTCTTTTATTTCATGGCCTTACCTTTCGTGTTATCAAAAGGAGTACTGCACCTAAATTGGTGCTTTTAGGTCCTTCAAGCACTAGTTACCAAACTCGTCGATCAGGACGAAGAATTCCTTAAGCGAGCTAGCCCAGTTTTTTTTTTGGTACAATTTTTCCTAATTAGGATGGGCAAGGGGATCTAAACCCATACATCCTTAAATAATAATAATAATAAATATTTACTAACAATCACGCTACGTTAACTGGTCCCGTCATAAGTTCGTAAAGAACTTGTGTTACAGGTACCAGATAACGGATATAAATGTAAGATTTTTATTATACCCATACATATATTTAATATTTAATGTACATCCATAACCCTGGAAAAGACATGTTTATCATACAAATATCTTCCCTTGGTGGGATTCGAACCCGCGACCCCCTTGTGTAGTGACCATGTCACTTACCACTACACCAGACGGCCGTTAGATCCTTGTTTGTTATATAATTTCTGAAATATCACCCATAGATACAACCCATTGAGTTTCTCTTCTCAGCGGGTTCCGATTCCGATCCGGTGGTAAATTCTGCGAAGCACTGCTCTTGCTAGTGTTACCAAATTAGCACTTACCCGTACGAGAGTAGCTGGAATAGCCTCAGACTACCAGCGAATAGGTAGGAAGAAAAAGCACCTAAAAGATACGTGCATATCTTCGTGTCGTGAACAGCTCAAGCCTTATAGAACATCAAAGTCCAGTAGTGCTAGGCGTAGGAACCGATGCTATGCGAATTTCTTCAGAATTTTTTGATAAAGGTACACATTGTGGGACGTACGGTTAGCTCACAAGTTGTTGTTGCTTATTTCAACCGCGAAGAAGTTATGTCTCGTTTGAAAGGTAGCATAGTGGTTATACAAGTGATCAGTTGTCCCGAATCCAGGGACATCATTTCTGTGATTCCGGAGGCCAAAGTTACCATGCTGCGAACCTGTGTCAATAAGGAAAGACAAAAATGCAATAAACTGGCTAAAAGCAATAAAAAAGCAATATTTGACAATCTGCCTTGTAAGAATTCCAATATGAGATTTGATATAGTAGTCTTCTTCAGAAAAGGTGGGGAATTCACAGATAATCGCATAAAAAATGGTGTAGAGAAACAATGTTGATTAAAGGATATTTAATTTTTAAATTTATTGATTCTCAAGTTTTGATCGAGTTCATTACAGAATCGTGTGCTCCAAAGCACTTGAATATAATAATTGAGAACAAGTCATGCTCAGTGATCTGGCCCACCCAATTTAGGATTCCCTGTTTCATGGGTACCAGATACTAACCTACATAATTTTAAACATAGAAATAATAAAACCTAGAGAGCAAACAAATCTGCTTATCACGCAAAGTTTGCCTGATGTAGGAATCGAACCCATGACCCTCGGCACAACAAGGGTGCTATGCTAACTGCTGCACCACTGACTTAGTGAAATCAGAATATAATGTTAACTTGAGGGTTTGGCTCCTGAACCATCTGTAAAGCGGAAGCAGATGACCCTGGCCACAGGTATACCAAGATATACATATACTTGCTTCCTTGAGGGCATCAATAAAAAATACTTTCGATTCACTTGTAATCCTAATAGTAACTTATTCTCAACTGACAAAAACAAATTCAGTTAATAAATTTTATTGATAAAAAATTACATATAAATAGTCTATTTATACACAATTTCGTAACTTAAAAATTCCATCGATGGCACTTATTAGTTTCACAACAATAAAATTGATTAAAATATCTGGAGATTCAAGTTCTGTTACATAGTATACTTAAGTCTACACTTTCTTTCAATTATATTCTTACATTAAAAACTAAGCCATATGATTTTGTATAATAACCTTATTAAATTTCACATTTTAGATAACAAATCAATAAAAATTTAATTGTTCTCGGATTAATTGCAAATAATAAGTAGGTAACTAAATTCACGGAAGAAATGTCCCTTACTTCATGTACCTATGTCCCTAGAGTAAATTTTACTACCAAACTTTACAATGGGATTCTTTATGTGTTATTTTATTTTGAACTTTTTATTTACTTGAACTCAGTGTTAAGAAGTTGTTTTCGATTGAGAATAGCATTGCATTGCTTTAAAGTTTATAGGTAGGTAGGTAATAAATAAAAAATGTCGTGTTTAACGTCAAGTTGACATCTTTCAAGTTTGACAAGTGATACTGACAGCATGATATCTAGCGCTGCAAGTATTAAGCAATAGGTACCAAACACTTGACTTTTACAGTTACTGTTTGAGAGTTACTCTAGTATTAAATAAATGCAATGAAATGTAAAGGTGGTTTTATTTTTATAACGTTTGTTATATCGAAAACTCGAATGAAGGCATATTAACAAACTTTAAAATGAATAAAAGAAATTACATATTATACATATACTTAATATATTTTTAAATAGTTTTCATTACTGTGGTTTATCAGATTCAACATGTAAAACCACAATACAACCACTTAGATGTTACATTGTGACATTTTTTATAATTCGATAGAAAATACGATACTGATTCACGCTACTAGAAGACTGAATTGCAAGCAACGGCAAGTCCACAGATTAATATTTTAGTTACTACGGGCCAGGTGATAAAATTTAATTTCGTCAGTTCATTTTTTTCCCCTATCTATGCTGATAGCATTGAGAAGCTATTTCAGCTTCACCCTAATATGTAGGTGAGCACTAGGGGCTCAAACCGGGTGTTTTGCCAACACTGGCCCTAGCAAGAGCAGTGCTTCGCAGAATCTACTACCGGATCGGAAACGCGACCCGCTGAGAAGATCCGGTGAGAAGCTCAGTGGGCTAAGTTCACATATTACGTATAAATATTGACAAAAAATAATATTCTTTTGATTCCATTTCTTTCTATAATTTGTTGGGATTGTATTGTGGGAATTTTCTAGTAAACGTTAACGTTAACCGTTACATTTCAATGCACTTCCGCGTAAACACGGTGATCTACATGATAACACAAGGCATGGCGCAGCACAGCGGCAGACAGATCGGGACGGCGGTCTTCTTCTCGGAGTGCTTCTCCTTCATGCGCGAGCCGGACTCGTACTCGTACATGCCGCGGCCGGAAGCGTACGCGCCGCCGCCCTGCATCGCCTGCAACATGCGCCCCTCAAATATTATTGCCGGGCAATCCACAGACATTTTTTTTGGGTACAATTTTTCCTTACTAGGAAAGGCAAGGGGATCTAAGCCCATACTTAATACTACATATATTGTTTACATAATGATTGTATTTTTTTTTTGTTTAACGAAACGACACGTAGCTCATATGATAAAAGTGGTCTTTTTTCTCTACATATTCTAGTAATCTCGAGGGATCATATTAGACTCACAGAATGAGTAGGTGAGCTCACATGGCTCAAACCTGACGACGTTGCTAAAATTAACCTTAGCAAGAGACGTGCTGCGGAATCTACCACTGGATCGGAAACTCCGTGAACTGTGTCTGTGGGTTAGTTTACTCGTCGAACCGTTCGTCGCAAGCGACGGTAAAAAGTGTCATTGACATGAACATTGACATAGTCAATGATTAAAAAAAAATTGATTTAAAATTTTAGAACCGCTGTTATTGTTAAGCTACTAAGAAGCTACTCACGCTAGACTGGTATCCGGCTGACGTCACTAAGGGCGCGTCCTTCTTGGCGAAGGGCGTGTGTCCCGGGGGGTAGTACACGGCGGGCCCGGCCACGTTCTTGGTGCCGGCGATTAGGGTCGACTTGTTGCTGGGCGCGTCCCGGGACTGGGTGGAGCTCTCGTGCGTCACTTCCGTTTTACGACGGACCACGCCATCCGGCTGGGTTGGGAAGCGCTGGAATAAAGGAATAGTAAAAGTTTTTTGCACCGCGCGCGCATTATCTAAAAAGGTTTTTTAATTCAAAAATACTGTTTTTCGCAAAACTTTGCTATTCAGCTTGTGCGTGTGTCCGTGTGTCTTAAACTCCAGCATCCAGAACAGTGCCCCGGGGACAGAAGACCACAAAATATATCAAGCAATCATTTGTGAGTACCTTCCCCTTTTTAGTCGGTTTAGTTTTCTGGGAATTTAAATTTAACTCAACAAACTTGTTTATACAACATAATAAGCCCATAGACATCTGCAACGTAAATGCGCCACCCACCTTGAGATATAAGTTCTAAGGTCTCAGTATAGTTACAACGGCTGTCCCACCCTTCAAACCGAAACGCATTACTGCTTCACGGCAGAAATAGGTAGGGCGGTGGTACCTACCCGTGCGGACTCACAAGAGGTCCTACCACCAGTAATTACGCAAATTATAATTTTGCGAGTTTGATTTTTATTACACGATGTTATTCCTTCACCGTGGAAGTCAATCGTGAACATTTGTTAAGTACATATTTCATTAGAAAAATTAGCTGCGGGATTCGAACACCGGTGCATCGCTCAACACGAATGCACCGGACGTCTTATCCGTTAGGCCACGACGACTTCAAATCTATCTGAGAAATAAACAAAAAAATTAACGAAACTCAACTCTGATTTTGGTCGGTGCGGGCTCACAAGAGATCCTGCCACCAGTAAAAATATCAACATAGTTCAATAGTTTAGCTTAATAACCACTTACAGCTTCAGGGAAGTCGGCGAGTAGATCGTCCAGTTTCTTGGGCGTCTGCTGATCGTGCGGGGGCGAGGGGGGCAGCGGGGAGGGGGAGCGGGTGGAGCCGCGGGGGAAGGGACCCGGCGAGGGGGAGGCGGGGAAGCGCTGCGTCGCGTTGTGCGAGGAGTACGTCGTCTCGCTGTATTTGTAGCCCGATGGACCCTGCGACAGAGGGAAAATGCCTTCATGAAAATCCAGAGATAGTTAAAGGCCATTTTTAATCTCAACACCGTCGTTTTCAGACATGTTGTCGTAATATTTTGCTAAAATTCTTTCATTTTGAAGTTTTTTTTAATTCAAAATTTATGGTTCGATCCAACTTAAGTTATTAAATACAGTCGTACCTATGTTCTTCCATAGATTGGATGCATATTTAATTATGTAAATGCATGCACGTAAGTATTGGTACGCGCTGGGGTTCGGGTTAAATAAAAATTCTACCGAAGTGTAAATTTAAGCTGTATTAGCACTTAAAACACTTAACACACACTTTAAAATTCTCAATTCACTTCTTCCGCTTCGCTTCAGGTGATCCGTTCGCTGTTTCGCTTCGAGTAGTTCTGATTACTGACTGCGTGCCATCTCTACGACGCTTGATTGCCGATACTACATTCCTAGAACTATCGAGAACATTCTGGGCAAATCGAGTAGCTTCGATGCATGCTTCCGCTGACAACAGATGGCGTTGTACGTCTCGAGCGTTCTCGATGTTACTAGTTCATTTGATATTCGTATCTGTTATTCGGCGTTATTCTTACCGGCGTAACAGTATGTTTACGAATTTTCAATAAATTTTACGAGACTGTTATTTATTTATTAAGTTGCACCAAGAAAGTGATCATCATTTACAAAATATTGACAAATTGACAAAAGTTCATGGCAGATGTCAGCTCAATTATAGATGCAATCGTCAGTGCATTAACAACAAAAATAAATAAAAATTATATAACTAAGATTTGACTACGTTTGATTGTTATATTTAATTGGGAACTTTAACCGAATTTTACACTGTCAACAGCCAACTAGTGTCCTAATTAGAGCTAAATAAAAAAGATTCTCTACAACTATCTTACAGGCGTGTTGTCCTCGCGATGTATGTGCGGGCCCGTAGTTTAATTTTTCAGAAAATTATCTAACGACTTACATATGGGCCGTGTCCAGGGCGGGGGTCGACCGGGAGCAGCTTCGTCTCGGCGGGGGCGGGGGCGGGGTACACCATGCGGTCACCGCTGCGGTCCCTTACTGCAATTAAAGGTACAATTTGGCATCAGTGTCACGAGACAACCCCTTGCTGTGGGGGGATATTTTATGAAACACGTTTTAATCGGTGGTTGAGCGTCTTCTGAGCCCAAGTAGGTACTTATGCCGTGAAGCAGTACCGCGTTCCGGTATGCAGGGCGGGGCAATCGTTGTATTGTAAAACTGACATTTATAACTCTTGTTTCAAGGTAGGTGGTGGCAATTACGCTGTCAATATCTATGGGCTCCGGCGATCACTCCACCATCTAAGCCAAAACAATACCTTTACTAAAATCAGTCGCGCTTAACATGTTTACTGCAAAGCTTCGTGAGCGACTATCACCTACTATGGTATGGGTGTATTCATTAACGGACTTTTGTGAGGCCAATTTTGAAGTGAAAACTTCTTTAGAATCGTTGTGATTTCAAACCGGATGCAACGGAAAAAACGACAGGTAAGAGACACAAATACAAAGAATGAGACAGAAATATACATACTATTTAATACAGCGCCATCTGTGAGATTTTTTAATACTAACGTGTGTATGAAAGCTCTTGTAGTGAATTTTAATTTAGGATTATACGTGAAATTAAAATATCAATTCACAGAGGGCGCTACCTTACAATTATTTACTAATGACAAAATTTTACATATACTTAAGACCTTTAGGATAATTGTATTTTAATTTTGGAAGGTTTCACTTCTACCACGTGTGAATTGCACACATTTTGTTTTTTATTCTACCTATGCTGATAGCCTTGAGAGGTTATTTCAGCTTCTCCCTAACGTATAAGTGAGCTCACGGGGCTCAAACCGGGAGTGTTGCTAACACTGGCCCAAGCACGAGCAGTGCTTCGCAGAATCTACCACCGGATCGGAAACGCGACTGAGAAGATCCGGCGAGAAACTCAGCGAGCTGTGTCTATGGGTTAATTCGCTCGTCGAGCCCTTCATCACAAGCGACGGGTTCGATGAGGACGGTATAATGTCTCAGGCACACTATAAACAATTTTTGAGGCAAGATTGGACTTGCCTCAAAAATACCTCATACGCGGTGCCTGGAAGACCCTCAAAAATCATCCCGCGGGCAGGGTGTTGAGTGTTGAGCTTACCGTCGGTGGTGGTGACCGTCCTGTACTCGCGTGTCTGCGAGTTGCAGTGGGAGCAGTACTGGCAGCCGCCGGCGGGGGGGCAGGGGGGACATGGGGAGCACGTGGCCGGTACCGCGTTGACGCTACTACAACACAACAAGTAAATATACCCTTTTTATTTTATTGTTTACACGGGTGCACGAGCTTACAGCCCACCTAGTGTTAAGTGGTTACTGGAGCCCATAGACATTTATAACGTAAATGCGCCACCCACCTTGAGATGTAAGTTCTATGGTCTCAAGTATAGTTACAACGGCTGCACCACCCTTCAAATCGAAACGCATTACTGTTTCACGGCAGAAATAGGCAGTATGGTGATACTTACTCGTGCGGGCTCACAAGACGTCTTATCACCAGTAATTACCACCAAAGGGTGGGGCAGTCGTTGTAACTATACTGAGACCTTGGAACTTATATCTCAAGGTGGGTAGTGCATTTACGTTGTAGATGTCTATGGACTCCAGTAACCACTTAACATCAAGTGGGCTGTGAACTCATCCACCCATCTAAGCAATAAAAAATAAAAAAACCTTCATCTCTCTCTCCTCTTTAGAAGTCGGTTTTCAATTCTTAATTTGAATTTAGAATGTTTACGCCCATAGTCAGAAACAACAGAAGTCTCACATCCCTCACTCAAGAATCTGTTTAAGCGATCTCAAGATTTGAACTCACGTTCGCACGTTGTCCGTGGAGCTGACGTAGGAGTGGTGGTGCTCCGCGGCGACCGGTATGGGCACGGTGGTCGGGTCCTGGTCGGCCGGGACCTCGTACGTGTAGGTCTTGACTGTAGTCGTCACCTTGTTCATGGGGGTGCTGCTGCGCGACAGCTGTGGACATGGTCTTTGTGAGAAGTTGCTATTCTCTTATCTACTGTCGAACTTAGTTGCTGTTGTTCATTGAAGCATCATCAGTTTTTCCTATCTATGCTGATAACCTTGAGGGCTGTGTCAGCATTACCCTAGCATGTAGGTGAGCTTTTGGGGTACTAAGTAGCCCTAGCAAGAGCAGTGCTTCGCAGAATCTATCACCGGATCGGAATCACCAAAAGAACAAAGAGAAAAGTCGAACAACAAAGAGAAACAAGACAAAAGAAAAAAGAGAAGGGTGCATTGCTTGAAATTCCCACTTTACTTTCTTACCAAACTTTCACTATTTTTTCTCCTTTTTTCTTTTTTTTTTCTACCTATGCCGTTAGCCTTGAGAGGCTATTTCAGCCTCGCTCTAACATATAGGTGAGCTCTGGAGGTCACACCGGAGTGTCGCTAACACTGGCCCTAGCAAGAGCCGTGCTTCGAAGAATCTACCACCGGATCGGAAACACGACCCACTGAGAAGATCCGGTGAGAAACTCAGTGGGCTGTGTCTATGGGCTAATTTACACTCGGCGAGGTCGATGAACGGTGCTTGAGGTACCTAAAAGCACCGTTAATGGATCGGGAGGATCCGAAATGACGCATCATCAATGTCTTTCACAACTCACCGTGCCAGTGGCTGGCGGCTGGTGGCAATGTGTGCAGGTCGGGGCCGGGACTAGCTGCGGCACCGCGGCCGGAACTTGAGCCGGGATCACACGGGACTCTGGAAAATAACGTTAAAGATCGAACACATGCGAGGAAGTGAGTTATTTCAGTCAAATCATTTTGGTATTCATCTCAATTCTAATATCGCAAACCTTTATTTATGATTGGCCAGCCCCTACTCACGCACCATTGAGACACCTAACATATAGTCTACATACACAAAGCCCAATGAACCATACTGACCGGTTTTTTCCTCTCTATAGACTTCTTGTCGTAGTGAGGAATGAGCGGGGATTGAGGCGACAGGGGGCGGAGGGCTCGACCCCCACGAGGAGCTCTCCAGCCGTTCTTCACGCTTCAGGGTCGAATATCCGCTCGACGGAGTAGGCTTCACTGGAGTTCTAGTAATTATAATTTAAATTTCACAGTTTTAATCAAATTTGGCCTTAGATGGAAAAGAAACTAAAGTTTGGTCAATTGGTGTAATATCGTTATTACTGTTAATGTTCCGTTGGATGGCAATGTTACTGCGGTATAACTATTAATTGTAATGGGCCTGTTGCTTTAAAATAACTAAAATAAATAAAACAACAAAGCAGTATTTCAAACATGTAAGAGTATACAATAAGAGTGTGCAATATCTTTTTCGAGTTTTTCGCTATTTTATCAATTTATTCAACCAACTTTGTCGTCATTAATCGACGACTTACACATAGAAACGATAGTAAATCTAAAGGAAGCGTCAGAACGATTCTGTGAAAAAGCGGCGCGACACTATAACCTCCATATCGTGATCGCCGCTAATGTGGCCACGAGCCGTCTGATCAAAAGTAACTGATCAAAACTCACCCTCGTCTGTAGTCAAATGATGTGCTTTCGGCTGTATCAGAAGTGTATCCACCTGGAATCAGGATTAAGCTAAATAAGCATATACAATAGCAGATCTTATCTAGGCCAAGTGGCATCATTTTGAGCCTCACAGTAGTAAAATAGGTGAAATAGTTTTGTGCACACTCACTCTTGTATAGCTGTCGCTCTTGATCCTTCTGCAGGTCGTCGAGAAGAGAGTCCAGCTCTTCCACGTTTTGCGTCAAGTCTTTGGTCGTCTTCGAACTCTTCACCTTCGAATAGCCTGGAGGGCGAAGTAATTTTATGGTGCGATTAATATTACTAGTGAAAGGCGATTGCATGCAGCAGAGATGCGAATGTTGCGATGGATGTGTGGAGTAACGAGAATGGATAGAATACGGAATGAATATGTTAGAGGAAGTCTGAAAGTGGCACATGTGACAGAGAAGCTGAGAAGTGCGCGTTTGGGATGGTATGGACATGTCATGAGACGAAATGAAAATGAGGTTGGTAAGAGAGTGTTAACTATGAATGTGGAAGGACATAGAGGAAGAGGTAGACGTAAGAAGAAATGGATGGATTGCGTGAAAGACGATATGGGTAAGAGGGGAGTGAGCGAAGAAATGGAATATGATAGAAGAGTATGGAAGGAGAAAACATGTTGCGCCGACCCCAAGTGACTGGGAGAAGGGCAGGATAATGATAAATTGATGATTAAGAACGCTTACCAGGTGTAGAGCTGAGGCTGGACTCATAGTTGTAGGTGCGTGTTCCACAGGTCGGGGCCGGGAGCTCCCGCTCCTCCTTCTGGTAGTAGTAAGTGCTGCTTTCGGCTGTCTTCGGAGGGATGGTGAACTCCTGGATATTTACAAACTCGTCAGATTTATTGCAAATTTGCACCACAGATTCAGTGGAGCAAAAGTGGTATTAAGCAATCGATTTTTAAGAAAATGATTACCAGATAAAAATGATTTTATTGTAAAAAAGCGTGGGGTGCTTTTCAGGATATTATCAAAATAGCCCTTCTACTCATATCTGTTCATAAAATATTTATAACTACTGATACCATGCACCCCACGCTTTTTTTTACAATAAAATCGTTTTTTCTTAATATTGAATTGTCATTGGTCCTTTATAAGTATATCAAATTTCGAGTTAATCCGACGTTTTGAAGGGGGTCGAAATCATGTTAAAAGATTCCGTTACAAACATACATACGTCTGAAGCTAATAAAAGCGTATTAAAAAACAGTTATTACCTCAACAGCCCTATAGTCCTTCCTGTCATACTTTCCGGCAGGAAGTGTCTCCTCCTTGTACTCGTAGTGATACTCCCTTGTACCAGCCCCACCGCGTCCAAGCGAGTTCAGCTTACTGCCTTTCGGAAGTAGCTCGGACTTAATCATATCTACGGGAATACATGTTTGTTAGAGTACTTTCGTCATTAACGGCAGTTGGAAGACTGTCTACGTCCCAATTGGATGGTAATTACGAAAATTTAATGGTTTGCGGGTTTGATATTTATCATACAACCTTGTCGCTCCGTGTTATTCATTCGTGAATACGCTATAAGTTCTTTAGAAAAAAAAATAGTAACTATTTTCGGGATTTGAAAACTGGTGTATTGAGGCTTTCCCCTGACTTCGCTGCAAATACCATACCCGCTTATCCAGCGGACTGCTATGACCAGATCCTCATCTACAATCCACGCGTGGGAGACCTAAGTTACCGAACATAATAAAATTGTACTTTAAAATAAGAATAATTTAGTTCAAATTACAAGCAGACAAGGTCTGTAATATTAGCGAAAAAATGTCATTCAGAAAAAATGAAAAACATTGCATTTTGGCGCCATAAAGAGTTGCTTGTGTCACTTCTATTTATTGTGCCCCTCACTCGTCCACGTATTGCTATAGCAAGGGTTACCATGGCAACCGCGTTGCTCTTACGTATACGATGGTATAGGAAAAATTCGAGCCAGTACTAGATTCATTCGCAAAGCAGCTGCTCTTGAGTTATCAGGTCTTATTTGGAGGCGCTCAGGCAGCTGTTAGCAAATCCCACCTCTCATGCCTGAGCCTTTGCTCTCCCACCTGTTCTGATTAAATTGGTAACGCCGTCAGGCCACCATTTATCCCTCTTTCATAAAAAGGTGCGCGTGCAACTTGGTTCACGTGAAAGAAGTGAAACTTCTTTTGCGGTGTGTAGTATTGCGGTTTTCTTCATTTTTCATCCTTAAATCAAATGTCTCTTGTAACAGGGAATGCTGTGTATAAGAGAAATTCATTTGCTCGCTCTGTCCTTTTCCTCTCTCCACAGTCGAGTAGTTCGCGAGACCTAAATTGTATCTTCTTCCTAAATTGTATCTTTTCTCTCTAGCCGTAACGAATCTGTCGCGAGTTAAATTTTACTCTCAAGGCGCCTAAAGAAGTTTCACTTCAAAAAGGGAAAAATCAATCATTATCCTGCCCTTCTCCCAGTCACCTGGGGTCGGCGCAACATGTTTTCTCCTTCCATACTCTTCTATCATATACCATTTCTTCGCTCACTCCCCTCCTACCCATATCGTCTTTCACACAATCCATCCATTTCTTCTTAGGTCTACCTCTTCCTCTAAATCCTTCCACATTCATAATTAAAAAATAAAATAAATAATAAAAATAATAATAATAAAAATCAATGTGGACAGGAAATATTTATACCCAATTGTTCTCCGGTGTATGGGACGGTGCCGCTTGATGAGAACTCCTTGTATTCTTTGTGTTTGCTGTACGATTTGGTGGCCATCTTGCACGATTATCTGTAACAAGAGAAAAGCGATATTTTGTTTATGACGTAACAACAACAGTATTCGCCAAGATTGTTCTAAGCTGCGATTAAAATATTCAAAAGTTTGTAGCGAGTAGGCGAGTACTCGCACACGATTAAAACCAGCTCCACAGCCTATGATCCCTTTGCTATATCACCTGACGTTTTGTACCGGCCAGTATTATTATCAAGTATTTTTTTGTTTCAGTAAAGAAAAAACCGTTAGTATATAAGACCTTTAAAACTCTTTAGCTTAAAAAAAAACTTAGACGTATTCATTGTCATCTGTCATCTGTCTGTCATTTAATGAAGAGAGCGGTTTTGTATTGCATGGTCGGATACTGTTTAAAATATTAATTTAAAAACAGATTAAGAGTTTTAAATGTTGTTTTCTTATTATATTACAGAAAACGCAATTAAGTCTTATATTGTTCATTCATTCTGAAGTATTTGATAACATTATATAATTTAAAATATGCTTTTGTTTACATTCATTCATTCATTCAACTTGGAACAATCTAATCGAGCGCTAATAATGATAGAGTAGGCACACCGTTCGTTCCCGATGTGACACTAAATATAATGTAACAGCCACTATAGTATATAATATTATATACCAGGTACAGACACCATCGATACAAGATTATTTCCGTATTTGGTAGGGAAACTCAATCCGGTGCCCGAGTGCGTAGGCCGAGCTTTCGTGACGCAGTTCATATTACTCACAGTCGGTAAGTTTCGGTTCAATTCATTTATACGAATAATAAAATTGATACACCTTTAAAATCTTGGGATTGCTTATTCAACGAAAACTTATTATAAATGATTCGGTCGAATAATGAAATAATTTTATGAACGATCAAGATAGCTGTGCGACTTTCAAATGTCAATATCTACAATTGCGTTATATATCTAAGAATAAAATTACGAACCGTAATTAGTTATTTTATTATACATACATGTATTAAATATACTATTATATATAATTTTAATGATATATAATAGTGCTGTAATGTATTTTGGAATAGTGAAATTTTGATATTTGGTAAATGTAAAACTAAAAAAAAGTACGAATCCTTAAATAGGTGGACGAGCTCACGGTCCACATTTTTTATTTTTTATTTATTGCTTAAATGGGTGGACGAGCTCACAACCCACCTGGTGTTAAGTGGTTACTGGAGCCCATAGACATCTATAACGTAAATGCGCAACCCACCTTGAGATATAAGTTCTAAAGTGTCAAGTATAGTTACAACGGCTGCCCCACCCTTCAAACCGAAACGCATTACTGCTTCACGGCAGAAATAGGCAGGGCGGTGGTACCTACCCGTGTGGACTCATAAGAGGTCCAACCAGCAGTATTAGATACTTATAGAAAATATGTTGGATCCAAGATGTATGTATTTTTGTAGCGTACAATTTTATTATCGTGCCACTTTAGTACAGTAATTGAACAGCGTACAAGCGCCACCCACCTTGAGATATAAGTTCTAAGGTCTCAATATAGTTACACCTGATGTTAAGTAGTTGTTAAAACTAATAGATATCAACAACGTAAATGCCGCCACCCAACCTTGAGTAATGAGGCCTCATGTCTCCATTTTTACAGTACAACGGCATGCCCGATCCTTCAATCGAAATGCATTACTGCTTCATGGTCAACGTTGGTAATTCTATCAGGTTGAGCTCGTGAGGTCATTAATCGGTGCACGCGAAGAAGCCTCTTAGGCTACCAACGATTAGGAAGGGGAGGAAAAATACAGTTTTTGCGGTCAAGGACGACTAAGATTTTATTTTATGTGTTAAGTATCTCCTAATTTTCGGTATTTTTTTTACTTCACACATAAAGAACCAACAGCATATCTTGAAGTTTGCAAGTTTTATTTGGCATGTGTTTTCATATTCTCATAACACACGGACGTTATGCACATGCGTTAGCTAAGCACTGATTTTTCGTCTTCTTCTTCTTCGTCGCTTTCTTCATTGCTGAAAGTCGTGTCTCTGAAACTTGACCGTTCGTGGCCTGTCTCGTAAGCTGTTTCCACCTCGTCCGGTCCTCAGCTTCTCGAATGGCGATTGCGACAGGCAGCCCAGTTAGGGTGGTTATTTGATCACACCAACTGCTAGGTAATCGGCCGCGGGGTCTCTTTCCTTCTACTTAGCCCGTCACAATCACATTGTCCAAGTTATCAATAATAATTTTTCGTATAATGAACATATTAAAAACGGTAAAAGTCGTTCTAATTTTTTGTCTATTAACTTTGCACTACTGCTTATATTAACACTGTGAGTCCTCATTGTATCTTACTCAAGGCGAAGCTACTAATGGAATCCTTTCCTTTCACATCCCTGACGTCGCGTCGTTTTTATAAATGTCATTATCACATGCTATTCATTAACAAGTATGTACAATGTATATTAACCCTTTTAGTGTTGAGCTTAATTTCATATATTTTGCAGAAAAGCTTAAAGGATTATTGAAAAAAAAATGTCCGTGTTAAATTCACAGCAAAATAATTAATAAACGGTTATTTATCAATGTTATTAACTTACTAGCTTTTGCCCGCGACTTCACCCGCGTGGAATAGTTACTTTGGCATAACGCTAAATACTATCCGCCTCTTCATTTACGTACCAAGTGAAAATATTTTTGAATAATAGAATGTTAGGGAGCTATTTAAGGTACCAAAATCACGCTTTTTAACCGACTTCAAAAGAGGAAATTATCAATTCGTATATTTTTTATCTATGTAAAAAATTATGGCAAAAAAAACGTTGCAATCTTAATATATAGACATATGCTGTTCCGGCCTTTTTTTTAGATCTTTTAAAGGGGAACAATTTTTTCATACATTATTTTAGCGAAACTTTAACCGTTTCCGCAGCGCACGCAGCGAAAGCTCTCAAAAGGGAAAAAACCCGATTTTGAAACATTCTTTATTGGTACTCCGCTTGCATTGGTCTTAGCGTGATGTTATAGCCTATAGCCTTTCTCGATAAATGGGCTATCTAACACTGAAAGAATTTTTCAAATCTGACCATTAGTTCCTGAGATTAGCGCGTTCAAACAAACAAACACTTCAGCTTTATAATATTAGTATAGAATATATTAAAAAAGTTAAAAATGCGCGCGCTAAGACACGCCCGTACAGGTCTATCTATACCTAATACCTATGTTATAGTCAATTGTCAAACATGCGAACAATCACATGTATAGTTTTAGTAAAAAGTCTGTACAGTTAATGTCCAGAGGGACGCGGACTGAGCACTGGTCGTTTCTTGAAATTGTACATCCACGAGAGGTTTATTTACTCAAATAGTTGCGAGTCTTACTTAAGAAATGGAAAATATTTTTTGAAGAATTTTTAAATAAAAAATTTGATTCCTTTGTCATTTAATGCGTAAATTAAAAAAAAAAGGACAGAATCTGTGACGTTTGAACAGCTGTCGCCCTTACGCGCCATATTTGGTTTTGCTTATATTTATGTCAAGGTTTTCGAAGTTGATTAAGTAGTTATAAAGGCGACAATGTCTTTTTGACAGCAACAGAAGTATTTATACTATGGTATAATTTTTAAATCAATCTATTGAAACTAGGTGATGAAATGTTAAACAATTAAGTCGAAGCATCAATGGCCTAATGGATTAATTGTTCAGTGTATTCGTATGGAGTGAAGCTTTGCCGGGGTTCTAGTTTTGTAGATAGCTACCATTAATACTAAATAAAACATAAAATAACACCCAGTAAATATGAAAAAACTTACACACTCTATTCAATTTATTTCTATCACGTTTTTATTCTACACAAAGCTAAAATTATCTAGTAAAAATATAATCTCGCCATAATTTCTTTTTTCTTTAAATAATGTTATTTATTCAACATTGATATGATTTTTCTTAAACAGTCATCAACTAATTTATCTTGGACTATAGGCTTCACAAATATCTTCCGTCTTCATAACAATACAATTCGAAGAAATATATAAAAAAAAATAGGGTAGAATCGACTGTTGTCAATCACAAGATTCACAAGTACTGTGAGATGCTTTTAAACTTTCGATAGCATATTTTTCATTAATTATCACACAAAAAACCGTATATTAGATTTCAATTAAATAGATAATTTAATGAACTATTTGTAGATGTAAAAATATTTAAAGAACACTAAATAATTTGATGGGTTATTTACTAAAATTCTAAATCGCGGTAATGACATTTTTGAATATTTGCGTATATATACAAATAGTGAATAAGTTTCGTTGGGGGTCAGTCGTCTCGGGGGAAGCCAGTGCGCGTCACACTGGTCTATCATGGCGCGCATTCAGATGTGCTCTTCAGTGAGTGGTCTACGTATGTAGTATATATGGCAGGTCGTCAGATCTGCGGGGCGTAGGAGAAATGGACCATCGAGTTCGACAATGTCTGGTATGAAAAAGTCGACCCTCTCTTTTTACTATTACCCTTTTATTAGCTCCAGACGTATGTATGTTTGTAACGGAATATTTGAACATGATTTTGACCCCCTTAAAAACGTCGGATTAACTCGAAATTTGGTATACTTATTAAGGACCGATGATAATTCGACATTAAGAAAAAAAATTAAAAAATTGAAATTCAACTAAAAAAATGAAAAATAAGTAATAGTTAAAAAAACTAACAAAATACGCCTTTATACACAATCCAACTAAAAAATAGAAAATAGATTTTAATAAATTTGAATTAGAAACAGTGTAACAAAAATTTGTATCTTGATTAGGATCAATATAATTAAACAAAAACATGAATGGATTGCTTAGTTCGGCTTGCTATTAAAGAGAGGTTAAGATATTGTAATTACATTAATTTTTTTATATGTATTTTACAAAAACTACGTCAAAACAAGTTCCTATTTGTACAAATCACAAAAGTGTAATTAATTATACAGGTTGATTCTTTTGTAAGATAACTTCTCAAATTTCTAACGGAGCATTTACTCTAACTAGTGGTCGCCCG